GTTTTGAGCTGTGTTAACTCTGAAAATATTCTGTACTGTCAAGTTTTGTACTTGAGTAGCCATAGTCTTAACTGTGTGCGGCTATAGAGTTGGTCTACTTAGGAGTATAATCTCTACAAGTAACGATTCTTCCAGTGTTGAGGCAGCTGACATGCTACATCTGGATCAATACATTTTACCGGTTGCTTTTTCCACAAAACGGAATTTCTTAAAAATGGTGATGCCTACAAAGTTAGCCTTTGGGAGATGGAAACAAGAAATTGTTACGGTAAGGTGTAGTGAACCTGTGCACAGTAAGCATGTTAAATGATGAGGGCACCATGCTCAGTATCAGAATATGTAAGTACAACGCAGTTTTAAATGTAAGCGCCTGTTCTCTTGATCAAATGTAGTGGAATGCCATTTTTATACTTCCTTGCAGAAATTGGAGCTTGAAAAGATGAGGCTCTTGATTTTCTTTAACATTTTGAAAGTATTAGATATCTAAACCAGGTTCAGTGCTGTATCCTACTAAGACAAGAAAATGCTACTGTTGTGAAGCCTTTCTAAGGAATTTGTATGAGGAGAAGCCCATGCTATATGCTGTGGGCTAAACGTGTAACTGGTCAGACTTGAGAGGTGGAAAAAGAACAGTTAAATGCTCTAGTCTCAGGTGCTCCTTTGGCCTCCTCTCTTTGTACAATAGTAACGGCAATAGGAAGGATTAGCTAAAGAAGTTACTACTTGGGACATGCCGAGTCAGGCAGACCACAAAGAAAGTGGTCTGCCTGAAGAAGAACCATGTAGTCTTAGATACAGACTTGCTGGTTGCCCTGTCCTTTACTTGGGGCTTTCATGTTGTGATACTTGAAAAGAAGCAGGAGCAGAAGAGTTCATGTGCATTTATTCTGGTACCCCCTCATACAGTTCAACATAGCCTAAGTATGTTGCCTTTAAGATGGGATCTAGATAAGTTCACCATAAATGAATGTGCTGCATGACATACACCACTATCGAGAACTCTCAGTAAAACTAAATAGCAATTTTTACCGATGAGAAACTTTGCCACGCATAGTATACTTCAAGCTGTGTGTGAAAAATCTCAGATCTCTTCTGGCTAACAAGTCTTTTCTCATTACTAATCCACTTCTAATAAATGCGGAGGCTATTCACAATTGGCACAAATAACTTATTGTTATGATCCAGTACTGGAGATGAAATAGTAGATTATCTGTCCTTTTCAGTGCACTGTGATACAGCAATGGAAATTTCTGTGTAGGAACAGAATTTTAACTGTTTCTTGGCTAAATTCCTATCAGTGTATGATAGAATTGTCAACATGTAAATGTATCTTATTTTTCCTTTAACAGTGCAAGTGAACGCCATAACTCTGAGTGTTCTTTGGACTGATGAGATAAAAGACACCATTTTGATTAAAAAGTTGTGTTAATAAGAGCATTTCTGATCTGAAATGCTAAAACCTTCTCTTTTCTTTCCCCTTTTGTTACTCCCCCTCCAAATTCACAGTGTGTTAGTGTTTTTACTGTTTATGAAGATCTTATCATACGTGTATTCCTGTTCTAAAATAGTGCTAGTGTGTTTTTTTCCATTCAGTATGTGACTTGAGTAGAAGCATTGTTTCCTCATGAGCACAAGCATGAAAAATACTACGCCTGCTTTATTTACAGCTGAGACCACAGCGGTGCTTTCTTAATCTTGCATTAAAGGGCTGAACTTGGAGCCTTGTGTAGTGGCATTCTTTTGTGCCCACACTCTGTAATAACTATTCTCACTGGTGCTTTATTGGGCACCCACTAGCACTGGTAACCAGCAATAACCTTTCAGTTATTGCATTTTGTGTGTGCTTCAAAATATTTTCCTAAGAAATATTGCATAGTGTGGAGAGACAAGACATACAGAACAAAACTTTTTTGTGTTCATAGTGTGCGTATCTTGCAGCTGATCTGGTAACTGATAACTCAAAATCAGTTGTGAGCCATTACCTCCCTCTCAGAATACCACAGGCTGAGCTATGGGCTTGTTTGAGTGCTATAGTAAAATGCATAGCTATTACATGATGGTTGAGGTTGGAAGTGATCTCTGGGGGTCATCTTGTCGATGTGTGCAGGTTCTACCAGTACCTGGCCAGCCATGGTCGTGTGCTGAAGTATATAATTGTCTCTTACCCTAGATACTAGGATATCCTCCACCTTGTCTTAAAACCTAAACATGCAGTAAACAAAAACTTCTGGCTTGTTTAAAAAAACAAAAACAAAAAAGTGTTGTGATTCAGTATTACAGCATTAACTACTTTAGTTGCATATAATGTTTCAATATGTTAGGACATGAAGATACAGATTTCTTCTAGCCCTTCCTTCATCCTCCCTGACCAGTCTTTTCAAAGAACAATTCTATTGTTTCTCATTAGAGACATGACATGCCTTTTTGTAATACCAGAAGATGTTATCAGATGTTGGCAGTTTTCTTGGCCAAAGCAGGAGAACTGCTTAGATAACATAAATGTGACTCCCTTTATGCAACGCTTTAAAATTGAGTTTGTTGCAAGTATAATGTGATGCTTGTCGGAAATAAGAATGGATTTTATATGAAGGAATAATAATTTACAGTTACACTGTTGCATTCTTGATTAGAGGTTTTGTTGTCATGGTTGTGAACATGTTTATTAATCTGTCCTTTGTTTTAATGTACCTTTTTTCTTTTTTTTCTCCCCACTTCTGAAGGGGGGTGGGAGGGAAGCAGGGAGAAACTTCCGGTAAGTGCTGCTGGAAACAGCAGAATCTGATGAGGGAGACATTAATATCTAGAAAGAGTTTTGATGTTTATTCCTGCATTTCTAGGAAAGTCATCTGAAGGATGAGTACTCAAGGGTATCGGACCAGGGCAGTATGTAGGCTCATTCTTTTCTGTCATGAGCTTTGGATGTGTCTGAGTTGAGTGAGGAGCCTGATTAGAGGGCTTTCCATTTCCTCAGTTCTGGTTTGGGCAGGTCAGCCTAGGCTCAGCAAATGAGGAGCTTGTAGATGTATGTATTAAATTAAAACTAGTTAACTATTAGTCTACTTCTTGACATAGAGATGCTAGAGTTAATTTTATGTAAAATCTTAAATGTAGCAGTATGGTAATTATCTTTTTTTGGTCCTCGCTGTTCCTCTTCCCACTCTAAATGGATCACACACCACTTCTTGCTTGATTTGGTTTGAGTGGCTGAGTACAAATAATCAGCAAATCAATAGATGGATCTGGTCAATGGCTGTGCAAATCTCCCAAGACGCTACAGCCATTAGTTCTTTTCTGTCCAGAACAGCTGCAGTTCAGCAAACTGGGTAGTTCCCAGTTATGTTTCTTTTTGCCCTCTGTTCACGTATATAACACATTATATACGTATACACACATACATATAAAAATATGTATGTATATAACACATAGATATCTGTCTTTTTTTTTAAAATCCCTTCTGGAGACAAGAAAACCTACTATTTAAGAAAGCGATCTGTTAAAGGTAATGATCTGCAAAGTGATCATGATTCTGCCTGCTGGTGGAAAGCTTGTGCCATACAAGATCTCCAGATGTGTTGCAGGTACACCTGCTTTTATGAAAATTTCATAATGCAGAGTCAGTGAGAGAAGCACTGACATGAATCTGTGCTAATGACCTTTGGATAAGGTTGACATAATCTGATTTTTTTTTTAATCTGTTTGTATGTTTACTGCTGATTGTAAGGGGATATTAGTGGCATCCTTCATAAGTGACAGCTCTATAAATATTTCCCCTGGACTCTGTGCTGATGGTATATTTGGTATTAATGTATCAGGAGGAGGAGGAATTCAATAAAGTATCTCACATTAAACTTTCTTACTTGTCCCTTCAGCACAGAAGGTACTTCTTCACAGCATCATTTGGGTCCAGACTATTTTATGTCTTATTTAGCGAATGGGAGTTTTGTCCTTTACCTCATTGGGATTGAACCTCTAATTGCTTAAATGCTTTCTAAGCCCTCTGGGATGCAGGCTGCTTCACAAATACTGCTTGAGCTGGTTTGTTGAATAGTATTCTCTGAATGGTATTCAGGGTCTTTCTAATATATTCATGCTTTATACTTGTTGCCTTGGATAAGTAACATACTTTGCTTAGAGTGCTTCCTGCAGATTTCTTACAGTGAGTGTAGGAAATATTCAGGTTCAGTTTAAATGTTTAGATGTTTGCCTGGCTTGGCAAAACAAAACTGCCTCTTGAAAAGCAAGCATGCAACAAGTATGTGTATATACGCATATATTTTTAATATATATCAAGCAGTTAAGGTTTCTGCATTGTAAGGCTGAGAGTTGAATTGTAAAGAAAAACCACAAAGTGGTCTTTGTCCATGGGACTGATGTTTTCTGTATCTATCATCCTTCCCTTTTAAACAGGGAAGAGTGCTTGGGAAGCAATTTCTTTTCCCTCCTCCCTGAAATGCCACTCTCCCACCCTCCTTCCTAGCCGCATCACCTTACAATGAATAGTAGAATAGTTTGCAGGGAAGTGAATAATTTATATCCTGAAAAATCGATCAAATGACAGCTAAGTCTGAACTACAGGAAATGCTATAGCTGAGACCAGTAACTTGTGGTAGAACAGTATATACTTTCAGATTAAGAAATAAAACTTCCTGTGCTGTAGAAGTTGCTGCATTTGAAATCTTGTTGCTCTTTTTCTAAAAGACCAGATGTTTTTTTCTTATGGCTGTAGAACTGATTCTTAAAAATATTTATCACTCTGACTGCTAACACTTCTCTCTAACTGAACCAGAATACCAAAGTTGGCTGTGTAAGTTTGTTTTATATTCCTTGAAATCTGTGAGATGTGCCTCATGCAAGGGACATAAAGGAAAAGCTTAAAACTTCTGCTGTGTCATTCTTTAATTTTTCTGTTTGCACAAGTAAATTTTTTTTCTTTTTTTTTTTTTTACACAATGTGAGTATCAAATACTCTACGTAAAAAACAAACTTTTTTTTTCCCCAAGGAGCCCTTTGAAGATGGCTATGCAAATGGTGAGGAAGGCACACCAGCTGGGGAAGCAGCTGCCACTTACACGCCTGATAGCAAAGGGGTGGTCAAGTTTGGCTGGATAAAAGGTGTATTGGTAAGTTTGATGTATTGTACTTCCGTTTCTTACAGATATGATCTTTCTAATAACTTACTTTTTTGAGAGGGATTGTGATAGCGCTATATAAAGGAAAGATTATGTGTATGAGAGATGTGAAAAATGCCATAATTTTAGGAAGGGTTGCTCTTACTTCCTTAAAATTCAGTACAAGTAAATACTTCAGGACCTCAAGTTTTGAAGGGATCATGGTTTCTTAGCACAGGTTTTACAGTTTCGAAGTTGCATAATTTCCAAGAAGGAAAAAGATGATGTAAGTGTTCATATGTAGTAGAAAAACTACATATGAATCTTAGGTGACAAAGACAAATGCAAACTGAGAGAATACAGTTAATGTGTGTTTGCTTTGGATCCGTAAAGTTTTGGACTGAAATGTTAGAAAACTTGATTGTTATTTATTTTTAGAGAAGCAAAAAATACTGTGTTGCAGAGAGTACCTACCTGTGTATGGCAAAACTTGACCAGGATTAAGTATTTAAATTCTGTTGCACCTGTTACAAAAGTTGTCATCTCCTAAGCTGTGGAAGTCTTAACACTAAATACAATATAGCCATGGTGGAAAAAACTGAATCTGTCGCCATTTGAAGTAGTGAAAAATTAAGGGTGACATGGGGGCTTTTATTACAAGTACATACTAATTTATCTTAAATATTCTGGCAAAGAGAAACCACGTTTAATACATAATCTCCAAAGCTATAAGAATTTATAGTGGTGGCTCCAAATGCAACAGTTTATGAAAACATTCTGAACTTGAGCATTTGGAATACCTAACTTTAGTTCGGCCAGCTTCCACTGTGTTTTAGCAACTTCCATAAAAGTCTTGAAGTAGCCTTGGGGAGAGGAAGAGTGCCTGTGGTAGCTGTGAAACAGGTATTACGAACTTCTATTCATGTACCCCAACCAAGCACACAGTTGTTTGTTTTGAAGCAGGTGTGAAGCTGACTTTGAATTTCTCCAAACTCAAATTCTGTATTGGGCTATTTTGGTAAGCAATAATTCTACGTATTAAAGAGTTAGGGGATAAATGTTGCTGACCGTTTTCTTCCAAAGTCTATTTAAAAGTTTCAAGGAGGATGATCTCCTCCTTTTCAGTGGTTTGAAAGCTGCAGTTAGTATTTCCTAGTAGGCATAAGCTGCCTGGGTTAATACTTCCAGCTCAGGTGATTTACATTTTGCAAAAGACTTTTTAAATCTCTGAAAACTTTTTACTTTTGTTGTTTGGAGAGGTCCTTGTCTCCCTTCTAATCCTAATGACTCGCTAAACTTTTTGCTTTAGGTAAGAGAGACTTAAGACATGATGTTAGTCTAAGTTCTGTACAGTGCAAACTCTATTTTATTGAGGACTAAGAGTTTAAAATACAAGGATAAAAAAATAAACCCTCTCCCCATCTTATTAGTGTGTAGCTGTGATATAACGTACAAATGTTCTAGGACTGGAGGTTGTAGGAGTTGTATTGCTTTAGTGCATTTCTGGGGGGAGATTTGGGGGAGGTCTGAAGGTGGGGTTGTAGACCTCACAATCATTGTAGACCTCTCAATCTTATTTTTTGTCATGTATTCTGTAGTACGAATTTTGGATCCCAAAGGTTGGGGTATAAATTTTTATTGTTTGGTCAAGATATACTATCAATGTCAGATATTGAAGTACTGTAACTTTATCTATGTTCAAGGTAGTAACTTTTTAATCATATTTAGGTTCCCTTTTATTTTTTTTAATCAAACCTAAACTTGTCTAATTGAAAAATCTATTCTTGTGAAATAATTTGAAAAGTGGTGAGGAAAGACTGCAAAATAATTTTGACAACATTAAAAACTGGAATGAAGAATTAGTGGAAATGACTGCAGATGTAAAACCTAACCTATGTAAAATTTCTGTTTTATCTTAGGTACGATGTATGTTAAATATTTGGGGTGTGATGCTCTTCATCAGGCTTTCATGGATTGTAGGGCAAGCTGGGATAGGTATGTGTACTAATGCTATAATTTTATTTCAGTGACTTGTAAATGTGATCCAAAAGAGGTGTTGATCCTGAGCTTACACTTTAAACAGGGGTAGAAAATAACGTTAATATTGCCAGTTTTTAAGGTAATTTACCCTTATCAAAACTTTGAGCAGTGTGAAGTTACTTAGACTTTTTCATTTAGCTATAAGGTATGTAATTTAAAATTGACATTTGTATGTCTTCACAGTGAACCGTAGAGATAAACTTTTGATCTCCGGTTATTTTGACCTCTGGCATCTTTCTGCGCCCCCCTCGTCTACATATAGACTGTGTAGTATATAAACAGTTTTCTTCTAAGGCTTAACTTAGTATTGGACTGCAGAAAATCTCTCATCTGCAAAAGGCATGTGTTTCCTTGAAACTCTAGGATACAGCTTTTACTCTGCTGATCAAAGAGAACACTTACCCAGTTTTGTTTGTATCTTGGAAACCTCTGTACAAAAGGGGAGTAAAAAAGCCTTTTGCTTGAATGTGCAGGACCACACACAGTAAATCTGTGTTGTATTTGCAAGACTAATTCTTTAAACCAAGTTAAGTTGAAGATTCGTACATTTTAATACTGTTGGACTTAACCTTTTTTTCCTCCCTTTTTCCAAAAGGTCTGTCTGTCTTGGTTATTGGAATGGCCACTGTTGTGACAACTATTACAGGACTGTCTACTTCAGCAATAGCCACAAATGGTTTTGTAAGAGGAGGTAAACCTACTGTCATAAAGCTTTTAAATATTTCATCGTTCTGAAGCGTACAGCTTAAGGATGGAACCTCTAACTTATTTTCCATTTTTTTAGCATCAGGGAAAAAAAAAGAATGGATGAAATGTAGGGAAGAGTTAGTTTTCCGAGGAGTAGAGTCTTCCCTGTGTTCTGTATTTGACTAAGTAGTCGTGTAATTAATGAAAAGCCAGTAATTAGCCTACTAATTTGATTTGACTAGTGGCTTGCTTTTCCACTGTGGAAAAAACATTTTTTTTTCCAAAAATTAAGAATAGATACATTTTGAGAGACGCGTATCCAGAAATGAATAGGGTCTTAATATTCTCCTGCATCTTCACTGGTTAGTTAAGAATGTGCATGTGTGCTTGTATGTTTTCATGTCCTGAAATAAAACTTAATAATGAAAATATACATCCTATAAAAGGATAAGCTATATCTATATGAGAGCATACAAAAGGACATGTTCTTGTTCTGTCGTGATTTTTTTCTACACAAAAGCAATTCTCCAAACTCTTGATTATCTCCAGCTTTCCTGAAGGTGATGGTTTTCATTTTCTTTCATGGTTCATGTGCTGTTGTCAGCAATTCCTACAAAATAGTTTTGTAAGTGGTTGGTGCCTTTGACGTACTGAAACTGCTTCATGACATTACAAGACTGCTACTAGTAGAAAATCTGGTGGAATTAAAATAGAAGCTTATAAAATTCTCTAGGTTAAGAATGAAGAGAAGAACCTCGCTATCACAAAGTAAACAGACCCAACGGGAAGGATCAGCTATGAATCTTAGCATTATGTCAAGCTTAGTTTCTAAATGCCCTTTCTTTTTTTAAATTGCATTATACATATCAGATTTTCCTGTTCTTAGGAGGGCTGGGTTTTTTTTTTTTAGTCACTCTTGCAAGATAATATTTCATTAGAAAATTTGAAGTGCTGAATGGGAAGAAGAGCTGTAGAATAAAATCAGTTGTTCCTATGAAAATCTTACATTGTAGTAGTATTTTTCTTAGGTTAACATTCTCATTTGCAAAGTATGTCAAAGCTGGGTACCTACATATGTTTTGCACAAGAACTGTAATGCAGTGAAATTAAGGATTTCCTATTCCAAATTTTTAATGTGCACTCAGTTACTTCAAACTGGAGGTGGAGGATTTTCTTGCTTCTAGAAGCTTAGCCTTAAATTGGAGCAATGTGCCTTTGCTACTTTTTTTTGAGTGGGTTTATTACGGTCTACTTTGACAGTTTCTTGAGCTATAGTTAATGAAAATGTGTCAGAGTAGAAGTATGCACAAATGCTTTGAGTAGTTTGAAATAAAAAGCCCAGTAATACTGCTGCTTGTGTATTGCAATTTGTTTTTTAACTGTACAGCTGGTTGCACAGCTGAATAATATGTGGTGCATGAGTCAGGTGATTATTTCCAACTGGTGTCTTTTCTTAAAAACCTGAAATGTATTCCTGAAATTTCAGCTAGCCTGTCCGTAAAATACTGAGTGTTGGGTTATTTTCTAGTACATCAGGGAAGATGCAAGAATAAACAGCATCTTGTTTGTGTAAACTTTAAAGTGCTGATGACTGTCTATTCTTAGGCTCTTTCATGCAGTGTTTTTTTTGTCTTTTCTTTTTTTCTTTCAGGAGGAGCATATTACTTAATTTCCAGAAGTCTGGGGCCAGAGTTTGGTGGCGCCATAGGTCTGATTTTTGCATTTGCCAATGCTGTTGCAGTAGCAATGTATGTTGTTGGCTTTGCAGAAACAGTTGTGGAGCTGCTTAAGGTATATGGATGATAGTGGTTATGTTGATTGCACTGTCCTTCATGCAAGTTTGAGCTGTCATCTAATCATAGAACCATAGAATGGTTTGGGTTGGAAGGGACCTTTAAAGGTCATCTAGTCCAACCCCCCCTGCAATGTGGAGGGACATCTTCAACTAGATCAGGTTGCTAAAAAGCCCCATCCAACCTGACTTTGAATGTTTCTAGGGATGGGACATCTACAACCTCCCTGGGCAATCTGTTTGAGTGTTTTGCCACCCTCATTGTAAAAAATTTCTTCCTTATACTTAGTCCGAATCTACCCTCTTTTAGTTTAAAACTATTACCCCTTGTGCTATTGCTACAAGCTCTATTAAAAAGTCTGTCCCTAGCTTTCTCATAAGCCCCCTCTAAGTATTGAAAGGCTGCAATAAGGTCTCCCCAGAGCCTTCTCTTCTCCAGGCTGAACAACCCCAACTCTCTCAGCCTGTCCTCATAAGGAGAGGTGTTCCATCCCCCTGATCATTTTTGTGGCCCTCCTCTGGACCCACTCCAACAGGTCCATGTCTTTCCTGTGCTGAGGGCTCCAGAGCTGGATGCAGTGCTCTAGGTGGGGTCTCACCAGAGCAGAGTAGAGGGGCAGAATCACTTCCCTCAACCTGCTGGCCACGCTTCTTTTGATGCAGCCCAGGATACGGTTGGCCTTCTGGGCTGCGAGCGCACATTGTCAGCTCGTGTCCAGCTTTTCATCCACCAGTAGCCCAAGTCCTTCTCCTCAGGGCTGCTCTCAATCCCTTCATCCTTCAGCCTGTATTAATACTGGGGGTTCCCCTGATGAATTCAAAGACATGGAATGAGGTACAAGGTTACTACTGCTATGTCAGTAAAATACTACTGTAATTCAGTAGCTTTTTGGTAAAAGACAAATTATCATTGATGTCAAATGGAAACACTGTTTATCTCCCTGAAAAAAAAAAAAAAGTATAATTCGTGGTAAAGTCCAACCTGGCTGTTGAGAAGACGAGTGGTTGTACAGATACATGACACAAAGTATAAGTTGTTAATGCTGAGATTCTTATTAGTGAACTGTTTCTTGCAAGTGATAGTCATTTATACTAAGCTCATTTTCAAAGTTCTGCTTATTAAAAACAATTCCTGAAATTAAACACAACCAAGTATTATTTGTCTATTGGGTGTTTGGACTAAATGTAATACTGAGAAGAACTCAACCATACTTTTTGTAGATGAGAAGTTTGGAATACATTAAAAGTAATAGTGAACAACAAGTGAAATACATGTATAGGTGCAAGATGGTAGCAGTTGCCTTGCTGATTAATCTAATTCTCTGGCAGTTGAAGACAGGTCATTCTCTCTGGGAATGGGCTATGAATAGGAATGAGCATTTCCATTTAGAAGATTCAGTAATTTAAAACAAGGCAAAAACCAAATTACTTGTGTCCATACAGGGAATTTAAAATGAGTAAATTTGTGGTATAGAGGTTAACTCAGTTAATAAATTACAGTCAACAAAATGCTAGTCTGCGGTAGCGAAGATAAGTACTTGATAAAGTATATGACTATATTTTTTTGTTTGTTTTGTTAGGAAAATGGAACGTTGATGATTGATGAAATCAATGATATCAGAATCATAGGAGCTATCACAGTGGTTATATTGCTGGGTATTTCCGTTGCTGGAATGGAATGGGAAGCAAAAGTAAGGAACTATCACCTTTTCTTTTATTCTCTACTTCATAATTTTGATTCCATTTTCTACCTCAGCCGTTTGATTTATTTTTAATGTATTTAGTGCACTCAGTATTGCATGCATGGTATGTTAGAAGTCAGTCAGCATGCAGTTTTTATGTAATAGCTCTCTGTCTAGCACTAGCATGTGCAGGTCTGGACAGCATTTCAGACCTTAGACTACTTTCTCCACTGGAAGCTTACGCATCTATGAGAACCTAAAAACCAGCATAATCTACTCGTAATGACACTGTCAAGTAGGTTAACGGTATGACCCTCTTCTGGGCAGCTACAGCACAACAAGAAAAGATAAGAGCATTAGCATGGGAATTTTCCCTGACTGGGAACTTCAGTTGAATTCTGTGGATGGAAAATACAGGGCTGGAGTCTAAGCCCATCTAAAGTCGTGTAGTTTCTGCTAACTCAAAACCAGTATTCTTCCCTTCCACTCTCTTCTGGTTTTGTTTTCACTTGGAAACAGACAGACAGTGTGATGCTGTCACTAGGCCCAGCTTTGAGGAAGATTGAACATTGGTGGTGATGAATGTGTAGGCGGGGTAACTTACTTTCCTCATCTTGTTGTGGCTGTGTGGTCTTAGGTCAACTCTGTGGAAACAAAGACAGATCCTAGGATACCTTATTAGTGTTCTGCTCTGCATGCCTAGGCAGTGTAGCTTGCTCAGTGTTTCCTGCACCTGGTAGGCTTTTTCTGAATACCTGTCCGTAGTGTGCTCAAAAGTAACTGAGAAGAGCCTCATTTGGTCTTCCTTCCCATTTGATACTTGGTTCACATGATGATGATATTTGTAATGGAAATGAGAGTTTTTTTCTCATTGTTGCTTCCAGCCCTAGAGATAGGAATGGTAGAAAAAGGAAGTGAAGATGAAGTGCTTTACTTCAGTCTAGCACAGGGAGAAAAGAATCTACAGAAATTGACTTTGGCATGTACTTTTAACTCAAACGGCACACTTCTGTAAGAATTGTTTACCTTTCTCAGTCCTTTACTGTCTGTAACTTCAATTTGTAATGCTATCTTTGCACCCAACTTCAAACAATACTGCCGTCCTTAATCTCAACTGTTTAGTTTTTCCTTTGAATGAATTAGTTGTTCTTAACCCTCTGGCCACTGTCACTTAAAGTCACAAGAAATACCTTGCTTTCGCTCTGTAGCATGAACACTTCTATAACAATAGCTTGCATAGAAATACTGCTGTTGTTTAATGTTTCTATATCAAACCTGAACTGTGGTATCACTGCAGCGACATCCTTATTAGGGAATAGGTAGCTTTCAAAAATGCCATGCTCAATGCAAAAATCAAGGCTTGTTAGCTTGGTTTCTGCATCATGGAAGAAGGCAGGTAGGAGCGATGGTAAGCAACTGAACCTGTCAAACAAGCACTTCATGTGGGTTAACATACAGCTTAGCATAGCAAAACACTAATACTTCCCTCTTGATTTAAAGTATCTGTGATGTTATCCTATGCCTTCCCCATGACTTAGAGAATGCCTTGGAAAATGGGACAAGGGGAATCTATAATAAGGCCTTTGAAGTAGATCTAAAAGCTAAAACAGACTAGGATTCCAGGGAAGCCTGCTTAAAAAATGACTTTTCAGTGTTTGTGATCTCTTACCACTCAGCTCCTAGTGTTGAAGTCTTCAAAGCCCATTCTTTGTCTGAGCCTTTTGAATGTAAGGAAGATATTCAGAAAACGCTCTTAGCTTCAGGGAGAAGCCTAGGTTTGTTACTGAGTAAATCCACTTGGGCAATTGCTCTGTGGTAACTTCATGTTGAATTCTCTGGGCTTATTGAAGACTTCTGTAAGCACCTAACTGCATCCTTGCACCTCTAACCTATTCTCTAGGCTTTGCAAAGGAGGGCTCTAAATATGATGCACAAACTAGTTTCTTCAGGTGGTCTTCTAACTCCGCTCTTGGCTGTCACGCTCTGTTTATCACTGTACTACCCAGTTTTCTTGCGAGGCTGTCTGAACTGGAAACTTTGTTTTGTAACAATCAGCAATGCCACAGTGCTATTGCATATTAAGTTCTGATCCTAGGCCTGAAAATAATGTCAAACTATGAATAGGTTCCCTGGAGCAACTGGCATATGCCTTTGTAAGGAATCAAATAACATAAAAGATAACAGGGCAGTGTGGTTATTTATTTAAATGTAAAACCTGAACTGTCTCTTCAATGCCCAGATTTATCTTTACTCACATTTTTGAGTGTTGGATGGTTTGAAGTACCTCTTGTGCCAAGTGTAGGGTTTATAATGGTTTTATTGAACAGTGGCTAAAAATCAGGGTTGTAATGAAAAAGTTCTGAAGAAAACTAGAAATTAACAAGTAATCGTGGTAGTTGGCAATTTAATTTCATAAATAAGGGTTGAGAATAGGAGAATGTACAAATTAATCTAGTCCATTGCATAAAATAGCAAACAAAAGCTGTTTGATTCCTGATGTAACATAATTCTTAGTAAAGTAAATATCACATACTAAAGTATAAGGCAGAGTATTATGTTTACAGTTGACAAAGCAATACTCCTAGCATTTGTGTACATTTAGTTGTTTACTTGTGAATTTCTTTAGTCTATTCAAATGCTTATAGAGAAAATGGTTCTTTTAAGTATTTTCTCTTTAGAACTATAACTTTGAGGAGTACAGTAATAACAAATTCTTTTCTGAATGGATGTTAAACTTACAAATTATTCTTATTTCTTTATTAAAAACCCTGTACATGTTCTCTCCAGCTTGCCTTATGTATTTGTGGAAAACAAACAGACAAGACTAAGCTGAATTTGGAATCAAGTAAATATTCACATTTCAGATCACAATATTGAAGCTTGAAACTGAAAAAAAGCAAGTTCTTCTGTCTGACTGCAATCATTATGTTTCAGGCACAGATAGTCTTACTGGTGATTCTCATACTTGCTATTGGAGACTTTGTCATAGGAACATTTATTCCTTTGGATAGCAAGAAGCCTAAAGGTTTCTTTGGTTATGAAGGTATGTTGGAACAGTTAGTATCGTAAACAATATCTTTGCAAAGAGGAGACATGCTGTCCTAATTAAGTTAAACATCTAAAATAGCTTATAGTCCTATTTAACTATAGAGATATTTTTTCATGATTGTTTTAAACTTCTGCAATTTTGTTCCTTAAAGCTATTGGGCCAAAACTTGGTCCTGCCTGCTTAATATTGATTATAATTTTTTAAAAGTGGATGATATTGTAAATGATTTTTCTGGTTTTAAAGTCCATTTAAGTTTACTGTGTTGACTTTTATTTTGATTTGAAGTGATGAATTAGGACTTAAATGTTCTACACTTAATTTTAAGAAGGTCATATAGCTGTGACTTTTGGCTTTCTCATGGAGCTAATAATGGCTGGGAGGGGGTAATACTGTAGCCTCTATATGAATATTGATAGACTTAAATCTTTTTCTACAGCTGAAATATTTATGGAGAATTTTGGACCAGATTTCCGGGGCGAGGAAACTTTCTTTTCTGTATTTGCTATCTTCTTCCCTGCTGCAACTGGCATACTTGCTGGTGCAAATATCTCAGGTGATCTTGCGGTGAGTAGTGAGTTAGCAAACACTGTTCACAAACACTGAGTGTGCGTTTATCTCTGTCATCACTGTCCACTGACATTTTTCTTTCAGGATCCTCAGTCAGCCATACCTAAAGGAACGCTGTTGGCCATCTTAATTACTACGTTGGTTTACGTAGGAATTGCAGTATCTGTAGGTAAATGGAGAATGTTTTTAACTTTATCCTCTTCATTCTAAGGGTGTGTTTTGATACAGTTTATGTAATTCATTATGTAAAGTCATTATGTAATGGACTTTCATGCATGGGAAAGTAATAGCCAGAGGTTTGTAATTTTTATTGTTGGAGATTCAATTTTCAGCTGGTTTTATAATTTCCTAAAATGAGTGATATTTTTCTAAGACTAGTAACTGCTTCAGACTAAAGATGACAAAAGACTTCATATGGGTATTTCCTCATTTGTTGCGGTTATTTATGTTAAAAGACTTACAATTTAGCAGTGGGATAATCCCTGGATTAGAAAACTGCATTTTCAGAGAAAATACTCACTGAACAAACACCTGTATTGTTTTGAAGATGATGGTAGCCAGCTACTCACCCGAAGTCAATTATGGGATGATCAAACAGCTCTTTGGTGAGAATGCATGAGCAGTAATTCCCCAGTAGAGGGAGGAGAGTGAGTAGTACCTTCATCTGGCCAGCCCACTTTCAGAAGTGTTGTCATGTTCAGAAACGTTGTCTGTAGTTTTATTTTCCTGTGGAAAGAGGAGAAACAATCATAGACTGATCCGAGTCTTGTATAACCACTCTTCCCGGTCTTCCCCACCCCACAGTGGTTTGAAATTCTCTGTAGAAGTTGCCTTGGGGTTTGATGCTCTCTATATCAGTTTTGCACTAGAGCACCAATGGTCAACCAGGTTTTTCCCACCCATAAAGTAGTTCTATTCTAGTAACCTTAAGAACAAAAGATTGTAATCATATCTTGCGTATTTCTTGCCTGTGATTGGAAATGTTTTTATTTGTGTCACATAAATTAGTTTCTGGCAGCAGTAATCAGTTTTCGTACATGAAAGACCTTGCCTTATCTTAGCTGTGCTGCCTTTTGAATGAAATTCTCATTTGTAAGAGTACCATGGATCTTACCACTAATGATACTTCCTTTCCAAAGATACCAATCTTGCTAGTCTGCTTCTGTTGGCTAACATTGTGCTGTAGCTCTGCCAAATAGTTGCTCTGTAGTGATTGTGCTTTATGCAGCATAATGACCTACACTTAGTTCCTAATTAGATTGACCGCATAGACCTCTGCTACCAGATTTGAATACTTTAGAACTTGAACCCACATGAGTGAAATGCTCATTAATATTCATTTGTTAATGGAATACTTTGATCATCTTTCAAACATGAAAAACCTCATTTTTCATATTGCGAAAGGAACAGTTTGCAAAACCAACTGAACATGAAATTGATGCATCAGAAATGTCGTGCTTTAGTTGCCTCCTATAACTTACACTTAGGATTCTGCTAGTTAGAAAAGGCTGGTGCTATTGCAGAAGTCAGAGATGATGACATGACTGAAATTTAGCTTTTTTGAGGCATTGGATCAGGAATCTGACAAGTACAAATACTTTTATTCCTTTCCCCACACATTATTCCCTGCTGTAAGTTTCCAGACTAGTGATAAGCGCAAGTCATTAAAACTTTGAAGGGGCTAATAAATGTTACTGAGTAGTCATGTGTGAAGGGGAAGATGATGTTCTGAATTTAGCTCAGTATTTGCATGCTCTGTAGTAAGAGGGTTAAGAAACTGAGTAGAGAAGGCTTAGAAGAGGAAAATTGCTAGTCTTACTGCTAGAGCTAGGCAGCCTGTTTCAAAAAGATAACAGCTGTGAGGAGAAAGCATGCAGTTTCACATTTTAGCGAGAGAGTAATGCAGATGTGCAGGTGGCAGGATGAAGATTGCATAAGCAACATTGATATCAAAATTCTTGAAAGACATATTTCAGAGAACAACATTTATTGCTTTAAAAACAAGGGAAGCTCTAATAACCCTACTCAGAAGTTTGGTTTCTTTAAGACATGCTTTCTGTACACAGGGAGGTGAAACTGATTAATGAGAGCCTAACAGTAGCTGCTTGTAGAACTGGAGAAGTTAAGCACTCTCAACTGCAGTCGGAAGGACTCAGGGTAGTATCTCTGGAATTCTTGCTGGCTGCATGTAGTTAGGAGATAACTTTATATAGATCATCTATTGACCTTCTCAGGCTTATAGCCTGGCAAAACTTTATTTGACTTTGGCAGGAACATGCTTAGAAATGCCTATGAAAATCTTATAAATAAATAAAATTTTTCTGAATGAGGGTTAAACAAAATGTTTGGACTCTTAGATATCAGTGTCTTCTGCTGAGAATGGAGCCTGCCCAGCTGTCTTCTGTTCTGCATTCTCTCATAGTAAGGCTCACGTTAAGTTTGTTCATAGTGCCATTGTCCCCTCCTGTCTCTTTGACTCTGTGCGTGAAAAGACCTGCCAGCCAATTGGATCTGAACTGTGAAAAAGGGAATGAGGAAGAGGAGGGCTGTGATAATGCACTGTAGCTATTTAATGGGTTGCTCAACTTAATGGGTCTGCCACTGCAATCCATTACCAACAAAATGTTATCTCCAAGTAGTTCAACTAGTAAGTATATTGTTACATCCATTATGTACTGCTTGAATGGCTAGGGCAAATACTTGTGTAGTGGAAGAGAAGAAACTTTTTCTCATACAGACCTTTTAATCCCATTTAAAACAGAACAACACCACCAAAAATCCCAGTCCCTCCACGTACCCACAAGAAAAGCATAAGACAGGTGATCAATATAGGAAACTTACGGAAATTTAACCAATTGAGCCTAATAAATAACTGAAAAATAAATCTGAGAAGTGGAAGGAGTAAGTAATGTCTACCTACGAGGACCAGGTGTTATTGTGGACTGTTAATCAAGTTCTAAGGGCTCAGAAGCAATCTAAATGTGGTATAGGTATTTAGGAATTCATTTTTCCAGTGAAAGAGGGACAATTTTTAAATTACACAGATAACCGGGATTGTTATTGGAGAAACTAAAGCTTGCAGCACATCTGTGCCCTCCGTATTTTGCATGTAATTTAGGTTGTCAGTAGTCACATGGTTCTGTTCCCAGGACCTCCATGTCATTCAAGTTCCTAAAAGACCAAATTAAGGAAATACTATTGGCTACTGCTCTGTAGACCTCCCTCTTCTTTTCCTCACTCCTTATTTGATTCCTGTTCCTGGAAATATTTGCTGATGTCCAAACAGTTTGACTACCTCAACTGTTAAGCCATAGAATGTTAAATAATACTTAGTCTGCTCTAGTTTGTTTTGTCCTTTATGAGACAAAAACCCTTGAAGTAGAAGACTTGTGGGCTTTTTAGTACTTTTTAGTTTTTCTTAGTACTTAAGGGCTGAAATGCTGTGTCTTCAGCATTTTCTTGACTAGTGAAATTACAGATAATCATAGATGAATTGAAGACAGCGGTTTAAGTGATAAACTTAATTATGAAAAATGTGGTAGGAATGGGACTCTGTGGCTTTGTTTTTCTCCAAGAAACCAACTTAAAATACCACAGTCACATAGGAGGTGGCTTGTTTAAGCATTGGAAAATGGCTTGCAACAGGCTTTCATGGCAAACTACTTAATTTTTTTGAATGTTTGAGCCATATTGACTGGAAAAGAAATAACTGCAACAATATGCACACCTGTCTACATACTTCTGTACATACACTACAAAAATGCCTTCCTCTAGGAAAACTGACAAAAAGAGAAACTTTAAAATCAAGTGATGGTGCATAATACTAACTTCAATTAAAGAGCTATGTGGAAACTCATGATTCAGAGAAATAATATACTGAGCTAAAATTGTGCTGTTAAATTTTTGCAAGTCTATTGACGTTGTTTTCCTCTGTGCTAAAACTTTCCTTTTCTTATTAGACTCAGATTTATTCAAAAACTGAAGATCATCTCAGGCAAGAGGGCAATTAGCTTGCTTGTTTGTATTTGTTCTTCATAGTGAAGATGTGCTTAATACTGAAATGTATTAAAAATGTGAATGCCATATTTTGAATGTTGCTCTGTGAGAATATGCTAACATAAAAAGGGAATTGAGCTTGACACATGTCCTTAAGTTCAAGTTCAGTCTGTTAATGCCTTCTTTTGTGATTGTATCCACTCTAGGTTCCTGTGTTGTTCGAGATGCCACAGGGAATGTTAATAACACCATTGTCACTGAGCTGACAAATTGCACTACTGCAGCTTGCAAATTAAACTATGATTTCTCATCCTGTCAGATGGGGTGTCAGTATGGTCTGATGAACAATTTCCAGGTATAAAACTTTCTCCTAAATCTGTTTATTGGCTTTTGTGTTTGTTCTTTTCTGAATTGCATATTAGGAAAAATCATAGGCTAAAAATGCCTATATCCATAAATATAAGGTTTATCTGAAACAGTTAAGTGGTACACTCTAGCTAGTATGTAGAAGAACAAGGCAACTATGTTAAGAACTTTTGGGTGTTTATACATAGGTGGTGTAACTATTTACTCTTCTTTTGAGTAAACTGCTTAGGTTAGGTGGTGGGACTGCAACTTTCTCTCTTTAGACAGCTGAATGTCATCATTCAGTGATGTGGATAGAAGTACTTACTGTTCAGTAGTGACGCGTAGTAATCATACGTAGCCTCTGTCAATAACTTGTTCCTTAATTTTTTAAGTTTCTTAGAAAATATTTTACTTTTTAAGAATATTTTACTTATTTGTCACAGTATCCTCTTTAAGAATGTTGTGAATTGTCATAAAACCTGATGTTACTGCATTTAAAAATCCTCTAGAAGTCAGGGGGCAATTCAACTTAGACTTCACAGGTTTGAAAGAAACTAAGGAAAATGCACTTATTGCTGATTGACTTAAACTTGCTTTGTGGTAGTCCCTCTTTGCCCTAAATTTTTCTAATAGGTGTACAAAAGGTTGGCTGGAGATTAAGCTGAAATCCACTAATGAAAAAGGTGCCTGCTTATGGGTTTTGATCGGAAGTACATGTGGTACATGTACTCCTTGCAGGTACTACTTACATGATAGGCTGACAGCCTTACCTGCAAAGCTGGGTGGAAAACGTATTTTGTACATATTGAAACAATGTTGCAGTGCAGACCATTCTATTAGAGTAAAATACATTTTTATGGTGGAATAATTTGGGTACCTGTGTGGCGTTACGTTGTTCTGGTTTAGAAAAAGCCTGTATTTAGAAATGCTTCAGAATTGCTCTTGTGGGAATAATTATTCTGCAAAATCTGATGACTTCCCTCATTTGTTTAAGCTTGAAAGAACCCAGTAATCATCAGATGTACAACTGAGAATTGTATAGAACTGTTTTCCTCTGATGGTATCTTTCCCTTTAAGTTGTAACTTCAGAAAGGTTGCTTACCATAAATGTTGCTTGTACGTCTAATAAGTTAGTCATTAATGTTCTAGTTTCTTACCATTTGGTCTAAAGAGTACTTCTATCTCCCAAAATATTCTTGCTTCTCTCTGTAGAAAAACTAGTGGGTTCCAAACAGGAAGAGTCACTTTCAAGGCCAAGGGCTGCACAGAGAATGCAGTGCCCCATATGCACACACCCCACCCACCCCCACCCCTTTTTGTAGGGGTTTTGAAAACTTTGTCCTGGAGACTGCACAGCATCTCTGGGCAACCTGCTGCAATGCACGGTGCACTGTAACTGCCCTAGAATAAGTTATAGCTTTGGGTAATTTAAATGCAGAATTGGGTCAACTTTGGATGAAAGTTGAAAGTAGCATGAAACTCCATTCCAGAAGCAGTGTAAAAGTTCCGCTAAAACATTCCTCCTGCAAAGGAAGACAGCTGTAAAACATTTGAAAAAAGTTAGGGGGAGTTGAACAATGCTTTGTCCATATTCATTAGAAAAATTAAATTTAAAGAAGCTGCTGCTTGTTTTCATGTGGCATTTTTTTTCTGCCCCACAATGGCTGGACTAAAGAACTGAAACTGTAGACAGAATATGATATTTCATTATTCCAAATGTTTGAAATTTAAGAAACTGTCTAAAGAGTAAATGCCAAGCAAACATAATGACTCCCTTAGTAGCAGTAACTATATATCTATTTCACCACACCAGCAGTAACAGGACAATTCTTACTACATATCTGTCCTTCCAATTCTGTGTGTTCTTTCAAGGATGAAAATTTCAGAGCTATAGCTAACTGCGTATGTGGGCTCCTTGGTTTTGTGGTCATGAGGTTTGGATTATGGTGTGTATGTTGCGGGGGGGGAGGGAGGGCTGCTTAACACCATGGCATACTGGTTCTGCTGGAATGGGTTCCCCTTTTGTTCCCCTAGCTTAGAAGAAGCTTCCTAATGTCTCTTACATTAGTAACCTAAGTCATAACTTACTAGCGTTTAAAATGGACAAACATTATCTACATACATCTTACTCAGGTTTCTCTCAGATTTATAAAACAGATGTAATATTCAGAAATAGGTAGTGTAAATAAATGGAGCTAATGAACAGAACCTAGAGAGAGAATGTAAAATCTGAGTAGATTGTAAGAACTAAATTGCAAGAAGTTGATGCAAGTGTAGTAAAGTGAAGAACTCAAAATAACAATGTTTTAAATGGGATGGGAAGAAAAGTGATGGAGACTTGTACACAGATTCTGTCCATTCTTACAGGGAAGATTGATCAAGCCATCCTTGCAGGGAAGAAAATTTTTATACTGCTTCTACAAAGGTTATTCTATGCTTGGTTTTTATGTTGCTATAGCAAAGGTTTCTTTATAAAATACTTGTCAGTGAAGCATTTACACCCTTAACTTCTAGAAATATAGTATAGGGTTATTACAAACTGGCATTTACAACGGTAACTTCTGTTGATTATAAAACTGACTTAAACCTGGGCACAGGAGGGATAGCTGAATGTATGTGTCATTAGTTGTATTCATCTATGAATAAAGGCCTATCCTACCTTTTTTTTGTTGTCAACTACAAATATGCTTCAGGAAATTCTCTCCTTCATTTGTTGTACTACTATGAAAGCTACTTCACTCTCATTTTATGCACCTGCAATAATTTAATGTCTCTTTTTAGACAAGGCATGCCTTGAACTGACCAGTGAAACCTGAGGTAGTGTGGAGATTCAGTTGACTCTTTGAGAGACCCGGCAGTCTTTGTCAGTCTGATCTGGAGAAAACCACTAAAAATTATCATTAGTTTAGCCCTAGGAATATGAATAAAACTTCATCAGTCACCTGTGTATTGTTTCTGAGAGCATGTCCTACCTGGTAAGATTGCTTTAGACAGCTAGATTTTACAACTTCAGGTGACAGTAACTTAAAAACGGAGCACTTCTGCATCATCTTTCTTGCCTTCCTTCAGTCCCTTTCCTTATACTCTAGGTGAGGTTGCGAGGACGAAAGGCAAGTAATCAGTGGAAATGATGCAGAACCTCATTCTGACACATTGTGCTTGAAAGGCACCATGCTGGGTTTGGTCCATTGACTAAAAACACAAGATTTTTCAAGATAGTATCAAATTCTTAAACACTGGCTGTCTTCAAGAAGCTTACGCTTTTGTTTATAAACAAAAGTACTGTATTGAACCATGATTATGTTTTAAATACATAGTTCTGCATCTTAATTCACTTGACACATGGAAAGCTGGATGCAGCTATGGTATGGAAGTAATCAGTAGAATGGTAGAAGAGCATCTTTAGGCTATAGGGCAATTAGACAGAAACTGCTTTGGTTCTAATTTCTTTTTTTTTTTTGCTAATGTTTTATCAACATTGTTCTTTTACACTTAGCTTACTAAGCGTTTATCATTTTGTTAGTCACCCAGTCTACCAAGAATTGCATATTGTATTTCACTCACTGGGGTTACAAAGATGTTTTAGGATGTGACCTCGGGGAGACAGGAAGCAAGTTTGTCTTGTCCTTGTGGTTTTGAATGGGAAGCAAGCCTAACTTAGAGTGATGGAAATGTTGAGAAAGACAATCAGCTTTCCCAAGATGTTCCCCAATTTTGGTTGTTTTGTCACTTGGACTTCCTGAGACCATGTTATTCAGCGGTAGGCCAGTCAAAAGATGTAACAAATTCCATTTTTCTTCCATGACTTATTTTTAGTCCCCTGTGAGCCCATGGAGAAGTTTGCTGTTGATTGTTTTGACCTGAGAATTACGTGATTGGACTATATATTGTATGAAAAGCCATCTTCTCTTGTTCTGAAATTAGGATCCACTTATAGCCTCTGATTTGTCCCTAGTTCATTCATTGATATGAATGCATGATATTCAAACAGCTTTTAAGTGGTGGGTACATAGTATTTTATTTTTCTGTTTGGGTAGTTAATGTTGTTTTTCATACTGTTTTTAAAAAGTAATTTTTTTTTCTTTCAGGTGATGAGCATGGTATCAGGATTTGCACCACTGATTACTGCAGGTATTTTTTCAGCCACCCTGTCTTCTGCATTAGCATCTCTTGTGAGTGCACCTAAGATCTTCCAGGTAAGTATGGAAGCAAACCCATAATCTTCTAAAGAATAATTTCAATCAACTTTTGAATCAGAATTTTCGGAAGGGGACTCTGACGTAATGCCATCATGATTCGTACCAGTTGACATCAACATAATATTTACTTGTTGCTTAGAATGGGAAAACTGTGTTACTGTTACTAATCGTCGCTAGACTATAATTTATTCCAAATATTATGTGTTTCTGGTTAGTGTAGAGATTAGTTGTGGTGTAACTAACATTACAGGAATCTACAAACTCATTTAGATGTTTTTTGTTGTAAGTAACATTGGAGCACATACAAAGATAACAGATTAGTTCACTTCTCAAAATAATTGCAGCAGGAGACAGCAAGAAGTAGAGCCTGAGGCTGTGGAATCTTAATTCTCAGAGAATACGTTATCAAAATAATTGTGTACTAGTCCTCTCATAAATCATTCACACTGATTTTGTTGGCGTTCCTGAACATATTTTGCTTTACCTTCTTTTTAACCATTTAATCTCATTCCTTGTCTTACAAGTTCTCTTTAATTGGGTAAAACTTGAGTGTCATCTAATGACCTTTCCCAAAAGTTCAGTAAGGAGTCAAATGTAGAAGGGGTTTTGTTGCAGAGTAGAAGCACAAGTATTTATGCACAGAACTAGTGTATACATTGGGCAAACTTTCCATTTTCTGAGAAAACATTGTCTCTAAAGAAAGACTCTCTGATTGTAAGACACCAGTGAAGTAAAATAGTCAATTACTTGTAGAAGAGCAAAGCTTGTTCTTATAAACAGAAATTACTGAAGGATAGAATATTGGAAATGCAAAATGTCAACATGCAAAGACAACTGAAAATAGAATTAGTACATGGTGGCTGTAAACCTTCTTTCAGGAAGATAATATGTAGTGGAAGACAGCATTAGTAAGTATTAGTAAGGATACATTTTGAATAAAACGCATGCTGATTCTTGAATTTTATTTTTTCTTAGGCGTTGTGCAAGGACAACATTTATCCAGGATTTCAGATGTTTGCTAAAGGCTATGGGAAGAACAATGAACCACTGAGAGGATATCTTCTAACATTTTTAATTGCTCTTGGATTCATACTAATTGGTTAGTTTGAAATTACAATAAATCTCAATATCCTTTTGTCCTTTATAAAGCATTCTATTCCATATCATGACTTGGTGACAGTGTCCTGGAGGTCTAAAGCACAGCTTAATTCTAAGCCAGCATTCTAAATCTGTTTATTTTGAGGGTTGCTTTCTCATATCTTCTAGATACAACTGTCTAGAACTGCTATAAATTTGAATTGAACTGTAGCAATACTGCACTTTTCTTAGTGACTGCACGTATCTGTCTTTAGATGCTATCAATCGATAAAAATAGACTTTTGCTTGAGGTAGAGAGATGTTATATCTTGTAAATATGGAAGTTTATTTCAGATTTTTAATAATTACAAACAGCTTGAGTAAATGGCAAACTTGCATGAACAATACTGTTTAAAGTGTGTTTTTCTGTTATGTTACAAACAGTAGAGATGAGTGCTGATGCTGCTGTTGCTAAAGGTAAAGGTAGTCTAGGTAGAATTACATGTGTTCTATGTAGATGGCAAACTAATTGTGCTGTGTCCGTATATGAGTCCTGTACCAGTGCTTTTAAACGTCTTTCCCCAGTTTGCTTTTTTCATTCTTGCCCCAAGTCTGCTTAAGGCACAGGTATACCCATGGTGTCCCTACTGCAGCATGCTGACTGGAAGCTTGATTACAACAAGTAGAAACTTGGAGATTAACATGGCACATTCTGCATTTTGATCACTTCTTTTTGATGGTGATATAAATGTTGCGTACCGTGCTGCCTCAAGCAAAGGAGAGCATTGGTTCTTCCATCTCTTTCACTAAAGAGGGTGTACTCATCACTGTTGTGATGGTATTGGTCTGTAATAATGTGCTGTACTAGTACCATTGATGCAACTTTTCATTTAAAATGCAGGCAGATGAACATGTTTGTCACATTGCTCACACTAACTTTGTCTGCTGTTGCCTTTCACCATAGTCAATTGTCTCTTAAACTTATTAGTATCTTATTCTTTGCTGTTTGAGAAATGAGCTAGAGACTCGGTAGTACTGCAGATACGTTAATTCTGTCTACTTGTTCTGACATTCTTCAGAACCCAGTGTATTGGTACACTATTTGATCAAGCCATGGTGGGAAAGAAATTTTCTCAGTGAATTATTTTGAGAAAGTATGTAGTACTTCAAAAATGGCAGTCCTGGAACACTTGGTAGTGTGGAAAAATGTTTATATTTTTAAAACTGAAAGTTAGACTTCCTGACTATTGGAAGATAACTTAGTAATTAAGAGACCATTAAGATAATAGCTCTGTCTGTTGAACAGAATGGATAAAGTGCTTCTCCTTAGAGTACATCAGAAAATAAGGTTGTTTAGCAGATTTTTTTACTCTGGAATCTACAAAGACACTGGATGATACCTTTCATAACAGCCTGCTTTGTTTTTGGTTTTACAGCTGAACTGAACGTCATTGCTCCAATTATTTCTAACTTCTTCTTGGCCTCATATGCCTTGATTAACTTCTCTGTATTCCATGCTTCTCTTGCAAAATCTCCAGGTAGGAACCACATTTTGGGGGTGAGAGTTTAGCCTGCAATTTCTTTATGCATAAATACAATTTAAAAAGTATTAATGCAAATGAATGTTTAGTTCAATTTAGTTACTAAATTTCTATTTGAAATCTTCTGAGATTTTGAGGACTGAGTAATCCAGTAGAGCTTGGGAGCTACTAATTTTGTCATCTTTGCTGAGGGAACACAAGATAATTCAGTGTTTACTCAGAAACTCTTGAAGAGAGGTTTCTTACTAATTCAGTATCTGGTGTTCAAGAACCACCCTTTTGTCTTCTTTGGATTTCTCTTAATATGTTTCATCTTCCAGCCCAGAAGAAACTGGAACTGCAGGTGGCATTGCCACATTTTTATAGCCTTTGGTGTGGGAGGCTAGTTAGATTATAGGAATGAGCCAAAACCCAGTACTTGAACAGATGTATATCATACCCGATCCACTATGCATTTGTACTGAAATAATGCCCTTAAAAGCTTCTTAAGTTGCTGAACTGGTAGCTATTATTATTTTGCCAGAGCATGAGCATAACTCTGTTTACACAACAGTTCTGTGTCTAACATGCTTGTTAATCTTGGGTGTGTTAATGGGGGTGTGCGTGTGTACTTCCCTGATTTTGGATAAACTTGTGACAAACAAGGATGTAAAGTAGTGACAGTCCAGTATTTTGACGTATTCAAGCTCTACTTTGATATATCTGTCCTTTTGCTTTTCATATGGTGACAATTTCTGGCTACGTGAAACTAATGAAAATACACAACTAGAAACAGTAGTATGTGCGAGAGCGAGTCACGAGCTGATGATTCGTGCTATACTAGCTTTGAAAGCAAAAATCAATTGTCAAGCAAGCTATTGCCAAAGGTTCCTGTAGCCTGATTCAGTAGACATACTGGCACAAGCATCTTCAGACTTTCCTTTTGAGATATGCTTTTAGAGGGCAAAATTAGGAACATTTACATATCTATGTAAGAAAGATGCAAATTCATTTGAAAGGTGTTGGAAAATTGAAAGCATAAAAGTGCCAAGGTCGTCTTGTACATTACTGAAACTGTCACACATTCACATGAAATGTGATACAGAACACTAGGGAAGGAAAAGAGGAATAGCGCCTTCCTTCTCTTGGAGTAGTGATTAAATTACTTTTCCCCGCTCTTCTCTCTTCTATCCTCCAAATTATATTTTGACTAGGTTGGCGCCCTGCTTTCAAATACTACAATATGTGGATTTCTCTTGTTGGAGCTATTCTGTGCTGCATTGTCATGTTCGTCATTAATTGGTGGGCAGCACTTCTAACATATGTCATAGTCCTTGGACTCTACATTTATGTCACTTACAAGAAACCAGGTATGTATAGGGGCTTTTGGTTGCGGGGCACAGGGATGTAAAAGAAGGGAAAAAGTGATGTCCTTTAGGGGAAAAAAAGAGAACTTATTTCTGTTTGGCTGACTAGTTCAAACTTATGTTTCAGGCTTTTTAGTTGTAATGAAATGTAGTTGTGCTTGTATAGTCACTGCCATTGTTTCCCCTCCTCCCAAATTATCAAGATGCATGCCTTGCACTTAGACATAAACATTTGAATGAAAATTGGAGGAAAAGGTGCATATGGAAAGAGCTTGGGTTGCAGCAACGAAGGCACTAGGAAAGCATGTTATGTTTTGATAGGAAGTGAAAAAGGATGCTCCCTTACTTTTCCAAATTGAAAAGGGATTTGAGTGGTGGTTGTTTTTTCAGTAAACCATTCCTATACCTATGAAAAACAATTCATATACTTTCTTCCCTCTTTTAAGAGCACTGTATGATCATAAGTGCAAGATGGCGCAGAACTGAACTAAAAGTGTTCCTGAAGTTGAAAATAAGGAAAACCTTACATCCTGGGCTATGACGATTATTAAGTACTTGGATGATAAATTCATTGTAGCTATCAAAAGATGTATATGGGAATGAATAGAGAGGATATTGGGATCTTTCCTTTCATTTCCTTATGAAAATTGTAATCTAAAAGGAACTGCTTAATCTAGCAGTTTTTTGCTGAAAGTATTTGACTTTGTTTAGGCAATGTTTTGAGATTATTTTTTCCTTTGCAGTGATATAAAATAACTAAGCATGGCATTTTTTCCCGAAGTGTTTTTTTTTTTGTTTTTTGTTTTTTGTTTTTTTTTTACTCTAAAGTTGTCACAGTCTTTGAAATGTTGGGGAAAAAACCCTCAATTCTTTCTTCTTGTCATTGTAAAATATCAAACTCTTAACTTGTTTGCTAAAACTTCTACAGATATGTTATCTTTAAATAGAATTGCTTATTTAGCTGTAGGGTTTGTTGACTACTATTGTGTAGAATGTACCAATATGTAGCTTAAGTCTTCTGTGCTTTCAGTTGGTATTTGACATTCATTTTGTGATCATGTAGTTTTACAATGAACAGCCTTAAATAAAATATTGGAACTTCAAATCTTCCAACAGATGTGAACTGGGGATCTTCAACGCAAGCTTTGACTTACTTGAATGCACTACAGCATTCTATTCGGCTCTCAGGAGTGGAAGATCATGTGAAAAACTTTAGGTAACAGTTAATATTAAAGACATAGGAAATTACTTCCATGTATTCAGTAGGATACTGTCATGATGTTTGCTGTCATGGTTTCCATTAAATGCCTGTTCATCCCCTGTGGGTTATAACAACTTTGAATTTCACCACCATGGGCGTCCTCTGGACATATTTACATTGGCATTTTATTTCTGATTAAGAGTGCGCTTTAAAAACAAGTCTATGGAGGATGCCTGCTTATTGTCAGGTGCCTCATGGTTTGAATCATGAACTGTGAATTGCATTCCTCTTTGAAACCGAATTGAAAGATGTGTTCCAAACAGCTAATGAGCATTCAGTCTACATGCTTGGGATAAAACTGATCTAACCTAAAATCCCCAAGATGTGTATACTGTGGATGTTGTTCTCAACACCAGCTATTTCACATTAGACATATCCCCTCATTGCACTTCAGTAATGGCAAACAGGCTACATGAGTGTTTTCACACAACTAAAGAAGAGAACTGATTTGTTGTCTTCCAGAGTGGCTACCCAGGAAGGTCCTAGTCAAGGAGGCAATTTTCTATCCTATAGTAATTATGCCACTTTTCTGGAATAAGCTATTGTAGAAGAAAGATGCTTCAGAAAATTTTAACAAAAAGTATTGACTTAAACTAATTCCTCCAAATAAATAGAATCACAGATTGAACATGACTTTACCGTGTGGTCTTGTCCAGTCCCTGGCTCAACTGACTCACCATAGATCTGGCTGCAAAGTTAGATTCAACTTTGATGTTACATCAGATTGCTCAGGGCCATATCCAGTCAAGTTTTGCGTACTACCAAGGAGGGAGGTTCTTGTTGACCTGTCTCTTTTCAAATAGAGCAGTTACTTCCTACATGCTGCCTATGCACCGCACAGGATTTACAGTGTTGCCATTTAGTTTAGCAAAACTCTATCATCCCTTGCAGCTGTAAGAAGCGTATTATTCTGTTATGCTCAACGTATTAGCAAAAGAATCTAGCTACTAAAATCTTCTGCTGTGTACGAAGGGAGACTTTGTGTACTTAGGGCAGAATTTAATAAGGAGTGAGTTCAGGAAGAGATTCTTGATACAGGTACCATTCTCTGAGGTTAAGTCCAGAATGCAGAAGCTGGCAGCATCACAGTTTTTCAAAGAAAAGATCTATGGTATTTCCTGTCGGTTGGGAAAATACTCCAGTTCTGACCCCAGCCTCTCTTGGGAGTGACTAAATTTTCTTGAAGTACAGGATAGGTACTTAAAACGTCTATGTTGCATACATACAGACAGTTGAAATTAGATGTGTCAACCAATCATGATAGGTACCAGCACAACCTCAAAGAATATGACAGTAAAACTAAATTACAAATGTATTAATATGAGTATTAATGGGCTTTCCACTTCCAAACTGAAAAGAGTTGGCTGTTATAGGTATAAACCACAAAACTTGATGTTTAATTATGAAAGAGCTTTTCTTTCTGAAGTCCTAAGTCCTAATGTGACATTAAAATCCCTGATTTTTTTTGCAAACCTTGTATTACATATTACATCAAACTGCATCATTAACAGGAAAAAACAGTCTACGTTGAGAAACTTGTTTGTTGCTTAGGTATCAAGAGCAGCAATTTTCAAACTTTCCCTAATGCAAATCTAAAGGCTGGCATTAAATAATTTGCAAAACCTAACTGTGATTAGTGTTGTAACCTTGCTTTTGTCTGCTGTGGGTCTATTTTGGGTTGCAAACTTCAAGGTAGGAGCAAGCTTTATAGGAAAATTCTTACCATGTGTAACTTTCTGCTTGTGCTGATACAGTAAATGAATGCTCTGCTGATCAGTATGTATTAGGATTGCACTGGAAGTACTTCAGCTCTTTTGTTTGGGAAGCTAGTATATAGCTTTCTGACTTTGAAACTTTAATTGTTATCCTAAGGAGATATAGATCTTAATGTAAGCCAGTTTTAAGCTCAGTGGCTTTAGGAGAACTATTTTTGGCCTGATACTGGTTTTTCTAACCTATGACAAAAAATGTTTGGAGTTCTAGAGATACATTCTAAACCAGAGCAGTTCAATATTTATTTATTTATAATACAAGTTTGCAGACGACACCAAGTTGGGCAGCAGTGTTGATCTGCTGGAGGGTAGGAAGGCCCTACAGAGGGACCTGGACAGGCTGGATTATTGGGCCGAGGCCAGCTCTATGAGGTTCCACAAGCCTCAGTGCCAGGTCCTGCACTTGGGTCACAACAACCCCATGCAATGCTACAGGCTTGGGGAAAAGTGGCTGGAGAGCTGCCCGGCGGAAAAGGATGTAGGGGTGTTCATGTACAGCTGCCTGAATATGAGCGGGCAGCGTGCCCAGGTGGCCAAGAAGGCCAATAGCATCCTGGCTTGCATCAGAAATAGTGTGGCCAGCAGGATGAGGGAAGTGATCGTTCCCCTGTACTGGGCACTGGTGAGGCCACACCTCAAATACTGTGTTCAGTTTTGGGCCCCTCGCTGCAAGAAGGACATCGAGGTGCTGGAGCGTGTCCAAAGAAGGGCAACAAAGCTGGTGAAGGGTCTGGAGAACAAGTCTTATAAGGAGTGGCTGAGGGAACTGGTGGTGTTTAGCCTGGAGAAGAGGAGGCTGAGGGGAGACCTTATTGCTCTCTACAACTACCTGAAAGGAGGTTGTAGCGAGGTGGGGGTCGGTCTCTTTTCGCAAGTAACAAGCGATTGGACAAGAGGAAACAGCCTCAAGCTGTGCCAGGGGAGGTTTAGATTGGATATTAGGAAAAAGTTCTTCACTGAAAGGGTTGTCAAGCATTGGAACAGGCTGCCCAAGGAAGTGTTTGAGTCCTCATCCCTGGAAGTATTTAAAAGACGTGTAGATGTGGTCCTTAGGGACATGGTTTAGTGGTAGATTTGGCCGTGCTAGGTTAATGGTTGGACTTGATGATCTTAGAGGTCTTTTCCAACCTAAATGATTCTGTGATTCTATTCCATGATTCTAATACGGAAAATGAACTATAGAGATCGAGACAGATAACTTTAGGTGATTCTTATGATATGAAAAACTATCTCCTGAAATTAATTCTGAAGTCTGGACACTTCGTCTTTTAAGATTGACTTGCAGTGTTTTGGTTCTGCCCTCTGAATGATAGTAATTTAGAAAAAGCATATGATTCTGTTTTTTCTGTTGGGCACAGCAGAATGTAAGCTAGAAAGTGCAAAGGGATGTGACTTACAAATGGGGGAAGAAATTCATCCCTCTAACCTAGTCTTGTCTAAAATCTGTATCTGATCTTTTTAAATGTCTAAATTCTCAGATTTAGTGGGATTACTAAGTTTGGAACCAATTAATCATAGGTCTGCTGGCAGTTGTGGAAAAATTGATCTTTACTCAATTTAACATAGTCTTGTAAAAGTAGATGAGGTTACTACCTCTCCAGCGACAGTTATGTTCTCATGGCCCATATTTGGAAGGAACTTCTTTGTGTTAATAGAAAAGCTCCACTACTCCAGATGAAATGAATTCCAACCTTTTTTTTTTTATTCCTCATCTATTCACAATTCTAGACCTCAGTGCTTAATTATGACAGGTGCTCCAAATGCACGTCCAGCTTTGCTTCACCTTGTCCATGCTTTCACCAAGAATGTGGGCTTGATGATCTGTGGCCACGTACATATGGTAAGTGTATTCTATCTTTACTTTAAAGTTACCTTGTTCTTTGTTTTTGTTTTCTTTTTTTAACAAATTTGCTTTTTGTTTGTGGTTCTTGTTTGTGTGGTGGTGTTTTGTTTTGTTTTTAAATGAAAGCATCATTAGACATTGAGAAGTGCAAAAAGAGAGATTTATTGGTAGGATCCACTCATGTATGGGTCATCACTATCCCAGTTAGGTGTACTACAGGGCAGTCTTTGCAAAATTAGTGTATTTGATCATTTGATGCTTGCATGCTGAGGAAGCTTTGTAGGAGTAAAGTGAACATTGGATTACAGCCTGGGTCTCTTTCTGTCTTTGTGTCATACAGTCTCATGTACTCTGTCATGCTTTGGACAGAGCAGTTGATCAAAATGACGCACAGTATACAGCTAGACTTCCTCTCAGTGTCACAGTTTCAGAGAGATTGATTCCTGTGTAGATTCCTTACAAAGCCTGGTCTAAAATAAACCTTCTTGAGGGGTAAATTCAATATCAGTTTAACCAATAGTTAAAAACTGCTCCTAACATTTCAAGTAGTTTTTTATTCCTTCAGTTATCAGATTAATTCCATTGGCAGGTGAAACAATAATGTTAACAGGTATTTCCTTTTCTGTTCCCTTTCTGCCCAGCTCCTAGTATTTCACTTACTTTCCCTATTTTTTGTCAGTATATGAGGTGTGGGGTTTTTGAGGGCTGGGGGTGTGTGAGGGCTGGTCTGTCAAGATGTAATTTCAGCAGTTCTTACTACTTGGGGAAAAAAAGTGTTTCCTTTGGCAGACTTGTAGAGGTTTTGGGGTGGGGGGAAAGAAGCAAGGTTCAAGTAACTGTTCTTCAAAATCATGCTTGTCATGAGTTGCCTTAACTGTGATAGAAGGTGGCTGTCATACTGTGATCTGTACCAAAACTTCAGTTAGCTACAGAGAGGCTGTTGCGTCTCTGATAAACACTGGTAGATATGTTTTAGCATATTGGAATTGTGTATTCATATTTTAAGGCCAAACATTTTCTGTCACTTCATTAAGAATGTTTAAGCAAGTGTAACTTTAAATACAATGAGAGATTACTCTTAAATATGCTTAAATTTACCACACTTCTAAATATGACTTGCTTCTGATCTAATGAACAGATAAGAGTAAATCAAGTTAATGCAATCCACAGAACATGTATTTTGTTAAGCAAATATTTGCCAGTTTTGTCTTCAGAAAATTTAATTCCTGTCTTAAACCTTCAGTGAATGTGAAAGACAGAAACTGAGTAATACTAGAGAGGTAAGATATCACAGGTGGATTTACTGTCTTTCAAAAGCAGGGCTGTACTGAAAAGAATAAGGTAGTGTCATCCTTCTTGTAGGAAAGTAGTTCTGATTAGAGATTTTCTGGGAACGTATCCTATCTCTATTTAAAATTGCTTCAGTTGCTTATTCTTCACTAACTGACCATTTGGTCAGAGTGTATCCTTTTGCAAAAACTGGGCTACGGTGTTCTTGATTATACCTCCCCCTGTATTCTGCATTTTGATGTCTAGGAGGAACACAATGATTCGTCCTGATGGAAGTAATAAAAAGAAAGTATTTAAAGACGAGATGACTTTGACTGCAACATAAAACTGCAGAAGTGACACCACTGTGACAAAGACTTTCTGATTAGGATTATGTACACACAGAGGCACACTTGTGCAGCCTGAAACAAATATTCCCATAAAGCCTAATATTAAGTCATTCTGTATCTGTGTATGTTTCATTACAAAGCCCTTTCCTTTTAGAACTATGTTATGTTTTGGAGGACAAGCTCGTGCCACCTGCTGGGGAAGTGGGTTGTGCTCTGCAGGAACAAGATTGCTTGAGCAACCCGCTTCCTAAAAATGAGAATCTGGTCCACTCTTTGCTGCTGATAATGCCTGGTATTTTGTTGTTTTGGGGTTTTTTTTGATAGTGTGAAAGCATGTTTTGAGGTTCTTCAAGCTTGAACTGGATTCTAGCAGTGAAATTTAAAAAAAAGCGGGGGGGGGGGGGGTTTTTTTAGTACTCATACTGAAATTTTTTTTTCCCTTTTT